TGTCGGATCTTGCGTTTAGGGGTTTAGGGTTTAGGGTTTAGGGTTTAAGGTTTATAGGGTTTAGGGTTTAGGGTTTAGGGTTTAGGGTTTAGGGTTTAAGGTTTAGGGTTTAGGGTTTAGGGCTTTGGGTCCGGGCGCCGGGATTGCCGGTTGAGTGCAGGATTAGCCAAACATCGGAGTTTTAAGCACGGGAACTCCGACGAATTGCAGGTGAGTAACCAGCGCTCTAGACTCGAAACTCTACCTGGACCCCAGCAGCATGTAGAATAATAGTCCTTTATAGGTGTTGGGCCATTACTTTACCTTCTTGTGGGGGTGGTAGACCATAAACTCCACGCAAAGCTTGTACACCGTAGATGCCAAAACACGAAACCTGCAGAGCAGGAAAACTTCTGCCATAAGCAAAAACAGTCCTAACATCGCTGGCGATCCCTTGGCCCTAAACCCTAAACCCCAAACCGGGGCTCGTGGGTTCTTCGAAGTCCTCCTCCAGCCGCGCGCTGACGTGCGGATGGTAGTTCCTTGGTTGAAAGACTTAACCCTAAGGGTCCAAAGGACCCAATAATTAGGTACTCGGTTTTAGGATAGTAGTTATGTAGGTTAGGACTTTGGAGAGTGTATCATTATTAGGTACTTGGACCCTTGGGGCAACAGGCACTGTAGGGTTTTGGGGTTGCGAGGGTTCAGGGCTTTCGGATAAAGAGGATGGCTTGAACGATTCCACCTTCGGACCAGGTGGCTTTCTGGATGGGTTTAGGGTTTAGGGTTTAGGGTTTAGGGTTTAGGGGCTACTCAAAATCCGAAACTCTGAGATCCGAGCTGAAACTTTGCGATGCGTACATGCCACCGCTCCGGACTCCCAACCCCTCATTCCAAGCCCTCATCGCCCTAATGTAGGGGCCTGAACACCCTCATGAACCCTAAACGGTAACCATGGTCAGGATTCTAGATGCACCCCAACCGCGCCAACCCGAGAGTCCAAGCATCTTCCAATGACCGACACCACCGGGGTTGGGATCGCCCCACCTCAGCAGGCTCTCGCGAGGGTCGTACAGGATTTGATACGACCGTATGGATTTCTTTGGGGATTTTACGGAAGGTTGTTTTGTCGGGCGTTCAAGGTAAACTCTCAGTTTCTAGTTCAGGCTTTGCGGGGGCTCCCAACAAGTTCTCAAGGGCTTAGGCTTGTGGGCTGTAGGCTTTGATGGTTTTCAAGTTTAGGAAGAGCACGGTAAGGGCCCAGACCCGAAAGCACGCACGGGATCCTCCAGTTGCAGCAGAGGCACCACCACTGGAAAACGGCCTGCCCAACAGCTGTTAAAGTTCGTGTGGTTTCCGGGCTGACAATTCTAGTGTTTGTGGCTTCGGATTGGGGTTGCCACTGGGCATCGTCAGCGAAGACAAACTTGCGCATGGAGCGCTTGATCTGTGTCAAAGGTCTCAAGGTTACGGTTTACGGCCAAGTTCCACGAAACAGTATGATTCCATACTTTCAGATACTATAACAATATCTACCTATCTATATATCTATCCATCTGTCTGTCCGGCTCTCTAACTATCTATCGATCTATCTATCTGTGCGTATGTATATATCTATATATATATATATATGTATAATGTATACATATATAATATATATATATAGATATATATATATATATATATATATATATTATATACACACACTATAACCTACTACAACAGAATGAAACCCTAAACTCTAAACCCGAAACCCGAACCTCTAAACCCCAAGCCCTAAACCCTATAAACCCTATAAGCACTAAACCTCGTATCCGACCTTTGAGAGCCCCACGAGCGTGGCCTCACCAGCTGGCACGGAGTCACTGGCGACCAGGCCAGCCTATGCTTCTTGTTTTGAGACACTGGACGCTTAAAAGCCTCTAATGTAGGGGCCTTATTTTTAGCATAGGGTTTTGAGGCTCCATTATACTATACTTATAACAAGGAACCCCTAAAATAGTATTGGTAATTAGTTAAGCCTCTATATCAAACCCCAAACCTATAGAGCCTAAACTCGCTCCGGTTTCGCGCTATAAGCGCCCAAAGACACTCGTCCAATTGTTTGAGGTCTGCAGACTTGGCGGGGGCTTAAGTTAGGGATAGTAGCAAAGGGTTGTAAGCGCCCAGTAGGTTACGTTTCACCCGAACCCGCTGGTTCGGCACATGACGCCTGTTTATGTGCTCCAGATCACATGGACAGCCGGACAGCCAAGAAAGAAGGCAGCCCAAAGCAGCGCCAATCGGACATCACATGCGGCATCAGTCTCTACAACGGGGCCCAGGATGCGGTTCACTGCACAACTGAAATCAAATGATAAGACCCTACAACGTTCGAAATCCTCAACTGCTCACCAAACCAAGCTGCCCAAACACTAAAGCACTGCGAGCCCTTTCAACTCCAATGCACAAGGTTCTCAGACCGTGCGCCCTAGAATACACAGTGCTAAAGCCCTACGCCCTCAAACCCGAAGCAATCTCACATTTCCCCCCCGCTTCCGAAAATCAGATCACAAGCAAGTTCTCGCACCTCAGCACCTCTGGCGGCTCCGGCAGCTGCAGTTTTACCTTAAGTTTCATGTCCCAGAGCATTTTAGGCATATAGAGTTTAGGCGTGAGGGTTCAGGGCTTGCGTTAGGGCTTACGGGTGGGAGGGTTTAGGGTTTAGGGCTTCCTAAAAAGCAACAACGGCGTCCTTCCCCAACAGAGCTACAGCACCTGCAATCCCAAGCCCAAGATGCAAGCTTGCAACCTAAAGCCTGCCTCTTGTCTCCATTGTAGTGTGACTAACTAACTAGTTACTAGTTCTATCGTGAAGGTCCGATACCAAGAAGCAAAGTGACCGAAAACACGCATTACAATGGCGAATATAGGTAGACCCCATAAACGCAAAACCCTAAACCCTAAACCCTGTTTCGCGAGCCCGCCAACAAAAGGGCTGAAGTCACGATCAGGAGACGCTTCCGGAAGCGATCCACGTCGCGGAAGAGGAAATTCGGTCTTTCCACCTGGGGAGTTTAGGGTTTAGGGTTTTAGGGCTTAAGGTTTAGGGTTGAGGGTTTGGGTTTAGGGCTTAATGTGCAGGGCCTTCCTAACGGGAAGCATGGTCTAAACGAGGCATCTCCAAACCCAGAATAGTCAAAAGACTTCAGTGACACCTCCTAACCCCCGAGCGAGGGGATAGACCCTAAAAACCGAAACCTTATGCCCGAAACACCAAAACCCCAAACCCTAAAACCTGTGACCTAAATCCCAAGCCCACAGCAAAGCCCACTCAGACAACTGTAAGCCTTTTCAAGAGCAGTTGAGTGCCGAGCCTCCAGAAGAATCACCTGGCAACTGTGGTGACCGGTGCAGCGCAGGGAGTCAACAGCGCCCATTTTTGGATCCAAAAATAGTACGGCGCCCTTTCAACCAGGACCCTAAAAGGGACCCTAACTTCTAGAACTACCCATTGGGCTGGAACGCGGTTGAGGGCTTGGCGGTTTGAGGATTTCAACTGCTTGGCCGATGCATTTTGTGGATATCCAGTTTCGCAGGGTCTCTCGAACAAAAACTCACCAAACCCCAATAAACCCCTGAAGCCGAAACCTTAACCCCTAAACCAGAAACCCTAGACCTTAAACCCCTGCTGCCCTAAACTTCGAAAGCCCAGTCTCTTAACTTGGACAAGTACAGGAATACTGCGACCGACAAGGCCCTAAAGCCTAAATCGTTAGAATAGGATTTTGGGGCCCATTATACTATGATCATAACAAGGACTTATTCAGGCCCTTACATTACCCTAAGGGCCCAAAGGACCCAATAATTAGGTCCTCGGTTTTAGGATAGTAGTTATGTAGGTTAGGACTTTGGAGAGTGTAAGATTATTAGGTACTTGGACCCTAAACCCTAAACCCTAAACCCTTGGGTTAGGCAGTATAAGGATTTACAAGCCGCGGCTTTAGGCTTTGACGGGCTAAGGCTTTGGGGCCTAGGCCTGAAGCCTCAATTTAGGGTTTAGGGTTTAGGGTTTAGGGGCTACTCAAAATCCGAAACAGAGACCCGAGCTGAGACTTTGCGAGGCGTACAGGCCAAACCTGAGCACACCAAATGCCTACTTGCGATGTGCGCTTCCACAACTGGAGATAAACACCGCGTGAGCATGCGTCATGGGAAAATTCCAAAGGTCTGGAAAGCGGGATGGTTTGATGTTGGCGGACTTGATGCAAGTGTTGGTTTCTCCGATTCTGCATGCCGTGAGCTCCCTCCCCTCCCCACACACAGAACCACACACACTGTACCGCCCGACTGTCTTGTACAGTCAGGCGTACCGCGCGCCCACAAACACTGTACCGCCCGACTGTCTTGTACAGTCAGGCGTACCGCGCGCCCACACACACTGTACCGCCCGACTGTCTTGTACAGTCGCGATTGAATCGTAGCGTACTGTTCCGCACTGACAGCATCATTCTCTTTAGCCGCCCTCATGGTGATGTCAAGGCCCCCAAGCAAAAACTGACCTTCGCCAGTACCCAAGAGCCCTGAAAACCAGGCCGCTGGTCGCCAACACAGGAAAAGCCCATGCCTAAGGCACGGCGGAAAACCTGTGCCACCCACCAGCGGGCTTTCTACTATACAGCCATGCCGATGCTTTGGTGCAGCTACTAATCATGAGCCACGTCGGTCTCCAAAACATCTCAAACCACAACTGCAACCGTGTGTTCATCCTCCGCTTCTTTCTTTCCCACGACCTCTGCCGTCGAATTGCTCGGCTGCGGGTTCAACTTGGGTACTCGAAGAGGGTTCCGCGCAAAGAGTGCGCGAACAACCGGCGCCCCAAGGAAAGGCACCTGCGCAACCCTAGCGGGTCCTGCAGCGGACATGCTCAACATCAGTGGGCCCAGGAAGAAGGCGTACACGTAAGGAGCCGAAAAAGTCCTCTCCCAAGCGTTGGTGAGCAAGAAAAAGAGGAGGACCACAATCACAACGATCTGCGGGCCCATTCTCTATCCTATATAGATGTTCACCCCCTTCGAACGCTCTTCGTCTTATTCCTTTTTTCTCCAAATCCTACCCTTCCGGACCTGACTTTTCTCGGCGAAGGCCTTCCGGTGTGGGGGGAAAAAGGGGAAGGCGATGAAAAACGTCAGGATCTCGAGCGCAATGCATGTGAAACTGATGAAGTTCCTGGCAAACCACGCCTGCGGAAACACCCTAAACCCTAAACCCTAAACCGGTTGGGGGTTGGAGATTGGGCTGCAGGGCTTACCCGGTGAATCGTGTACTGGCAAACACATTGAGATGTCGAACACACTTATTGTACACTTGCCCAACACTCTTTGCCCAAGCGCTTGGTTGCAAAGGGTGTTTTGGAAGGTCCTGTTTGGAACAGTATCCCGTCAGTGAGATTGCTGAAGAAAATGCGACATGCACCACACAGTCCGCGAGGGCAGCAAACGCGGCGGTGTATGAAAAAGGCTCTGATAAGCCTGTGGCAAAGTGTCTGGGACAGGCCTCAAGCTGCAGGAGTCCTGTTTGAACTGGCGAGTTTAAGATTTATGGATGACTCATGGGGTCTGTGGTTCAATCTAGGGTTATAGAAAGGTCTTGGGAACGAACAAAAACAGGTGGAACGAGGTGCGGAAAAGCGCACGCCGCATGAGTTGAGATCGCCATTTGTTCCCATGGGGTTGCGTCTGTCAACATGAAGCACCCCCCAATCACGCGTGCCAGACATTAACCTTTGACACCCCCGACGCCTTCCAGAAGATGCGTGCAGCGCATGAGGGTTTGTAAAAGCAGGGTATACGCCAAGGATCTCTACCCTCCTTAATAGACATTGATTCGAGACTGCCTTAGGTTTTGGGCCCCAGACAAAGCCACATGACAACATCGGTGCGAGTGAAGCGTCCGCACAGCTCCCAGGAGGAGATATAAAAAATCATTGCCAACACAAAACAACTTCCAAATTCAAGATCTGAAGCTTGTCTTATCCCATCCAGCAACCCGATACCTGCTTTGACTTTCTTGCTGACCCTGGTCTCTGAACCCTGGTCTCTGAAAAAGGGCAGTAATCCCGAGCAAACTCCCCCTTCACAAGGGATCCTTGGGGCATCCCCCTTTTGTGAAAGTCCCGCCTCGTTGGCCACGTAGATCCCAAGCGTGAAGGCGATAAGGATCATGGCCCGGCTCCAGGTGGAAATGTCTCCCAGGGGCCCAGTCCACTTCGCGACTGCATGGAGCTCAGGATATGAGTGGCCCATGTCTAAAAGCACGGAAATGGTTTCGTCCACGTCTCTTCCAGCACCTCGGGCATGAATGTCGCTAAGAATGCGTTCCTGATCTGCTCGGTTGGAACTCCGTGCGCCATCAATGCCCTTGAATCCATCCCTTAGCTGCCTTGACTGTCTCGACGCGGTTTTCGCTAGGAGGCGATCCGTCTCGAGGGCACTGGCCAGGAAGGGCAACCACAAAGTCCCCCACGCGCTGTATGCACTCCCGAATCCAAACAAATAGCCAGATGAGAGTCCCCCCATGGAGGCGAAGGCGTAGCCCACGTGGATGCTGCCCAAATGCAGTTTGCTCTGGGGCCACTTCGCCTTGACGAAGAGCCCCCAGCAGAAGGTAATCATTGCAGCCATTGTCAGTATATTTGGGGCCGGTAGCATCCCCCACTGGAGAGGAGGGATTTGCTTGAATGCAAGAAAGCCAAGCCCCTGAAAGGCCACGGTTGTGTAGAACATGCGCAGACTCCCCGGCCAAAACTTGGTCACAGGTGCCAGCGCTGTGCGAATCGGCTTTTCCAGGCTGTAGGCTACAAATGCCTCATAAACACACCAAATGCGCGTGTAGATGCTGACCTGCTGGTTTGGAACCACCAACATCTGATTTGCAACCCTCAAGGCACGAGCAAAGGGCGATTGCTCGGGAGTCGCGATGAGGTGGGTGATGTCCAAGTTCTGCGGGTTGGACAAAAAACATACGTAGGCTGCTGTGGCGCCCTTGGGCCAACTATAGCTCACCTTGTCCATGAACTCAAAGACCCCTTCTGCCCAGCCATGGGTGATAAACAGATCGCATTCCAAACCTTCCGGATGCTTCATGAGTGCCTGGGCGGCTTTGAGGTATGCAACAAATCTCAACAGCGCAAGGCTTGAACTTACAGGGAAAGCTGCCAACCCATAGAAGCTTGCATCTCACAGTCTGCCCCGCCCCCGCCCAACACGCCTGGAGCTAAAGTCTCGTAGAACATCCAGGTCAAGTGCATTGGAAAAAAGGATTAAACAAAACGCGCAAACCGTTAACCGGCAACATCTCCCCCAAGGTACCCAACTCATGCCGCCTGCGGCTTCTGTGACAGGCTTGATGTATTGCTCCGTCACCGTGTACATGGTTGGACCCTTCAAAGAGTCCCGTGGGTCGAAGGGATCGGCCTCCATCAGACTGAAGCCCTAACCCCCTAAACCCTGAAACTGAAAACCCCATGCCTGAAATCTTGAAGACTGAAGCCCGACCTAGATGGACCCTCAGCCCTGAACCCTTGAGTCAAAACCCTGCTATTCTTGCCTTAGGGTTTAGGGTTTAGGGTTTAGGGTGCCCTACACCCCTCAGCCCTCCATCCATCCTCTGTGGGCGTGATCTTGCCGTCCAGGATTGCATGAAGAACCAACCGGCGAAACTGTTGCAAATCACCTGACGCTACGAGGCTTCCTTGCTCCGACTGGGGGGAGTGCCACTTGGATTGAAAGCCTAGGGGGAGAGGGCGACGCGGATGTAGGGATCGGGATACAGATCAAACTGGAGACCTTCTTTTCGATCAAATCCGTTTGTCCAGTAGTCCGCGCCTAGGGAGACACACCATTTTTCCATCCCCACCATGTCGTGAATCTCGGCACCGTTGCGTGGCACAGGGCTCATCAAGTCTTCTGGCCTTCCAGCGTGCGGGGCGATTTGCAACACTGACGATACGAAACGAGCTGATGCTGAAGCTTGGGCTTTCGTGTCGTTGACTTTTCTTACGTGGTCTTCTGAAAATCACACAAGCTCTCGAAGCCTGAACTTGCTTCCGCTGGCCTGAGCGTGTCCACCATGGGTTTTGCGTTGATTAGCCAGGTGCAGATGAAGACTCCCAGCAGACCGGTGCTGAGATACACTGGAGCCAACACCTGCAAGCCCGCGCAAAGGAGGTTTCCATAACTGGGAAGAAATTGGGCGGCCAGGAGCAAAGCTGTGAAGGGTTAGAAGGCCTCCTTCGTGTGGGGCCAGGGATTTGGTTCCAGGTTGAGGCTTCCGGGTTTGAGTCAGGTGACAACTCCAAGTTTTGGCACACCCAAACTGACTGGCCGAGGGACGTCGAGAAGGGCCGCCTCCCCACACGCAGGCGCGCCGCCGCTGTCTGAGCAGCATGCGAAAAGGGACCATACATCATCTCCATCTCCGACATAGTACCTGCATTTTCAAGCGCCCATTTCGGCTTCAGGCTGCTTCAACTCATGAGGCTTCTTGGGCTGGGCTGAATAGTAAAAGATGCTGTTTGAATTGTACTGGAATGCAGCAGTGCTGAAGCATAAGGTTTCGCGATGTGGCTTGGAGTTTAGGAGCTTAGGGTTCGAGGCGTCAAATAAAGGTATCAGGATCTGCTTGACTTCATCCAAGGCATCTGCCCTTTCCTGGTCACAACGCATGCCATGTCTTAACTTCATTCATGCTAATAACCGATATGACTGAACCCATCAACCTGGTAATGAAGTGGTTCTGGAGGGATTCCAGCCCCAAAATGAACCCTTCTTGTCTTGTCTTGACGACAATCTACATTCTACACCGCATGAGGCTTTGCGACTTTTCTTCTGTTTGGTGTTGGGCTTCTAAGCAATGAACCTTAACCAGAAGCCATCAACCCTAAACCCCCCTGAGACCCTAAACCCGAATCCCAAACTATAGACCTTAAAGCATTATGACTGACCCTAAGCGTACAAGCTAACACCCTGAAGCCCTGGAGTCTAAGCTATATGCCCCATGTCAAATGATTAGGCCCACCTGGAGATTTCCGGACAACAGAAAGGAGCCCAAAAAAGCTAGAGACTACCTGCTAAACCTTCTTTTAGAAGGGGGGGATTCTGGGTACCGCTCTTTTCGGAAGTGCCGCCTGGCGAGGTAAGGCGCGTAGCCTTCCACGCAGCCTCGATTTTTCTGAGAGAAATGGAAGTTTCCCAAAAAAAGGACCGCCCATCAACAGAGCGCCTCCACAGAAGACAGTTTGAGTACAAGTTCTAGCTAACTTGAGCTTAACGGTTCCTTCAAACAAGAGAGCGATAAACAGCTCGCCATATTTTTGAGCCCTTTAGTTGTACGGACAAACTCTTGAATGTTGCCGATCTGAAGATTAGCTTCTTGCCACGCAACTGCAAGGTTCAACCAACGTGCCGCCGATGCAGAAGCCTGTGCCTTCATCATAGGCAGGCGTAGCGCCTCAAACTGGCACAGACAGGGTCAGAGTCTTGCGTTTCTAGGTGAGGACTTCTCAATCCCAAGGTTGCGAGGTTGTGGGGCGAACTTTCCGGATCAGATTCAAGAACCTCGGCTTCTGCTAGCCTGTCGGTAAACCCTAAACCTTCAACCCTATTAACCCTAAACCCTCAACCCTAAACCCCAAAACCCTAAACCCTAAACCCACATTCGGAAAGACCGCTGGGTGCAGGCTCGAGGGTCGATGTTTTTTTCAATTTCTGGGCTTGGGGTCTTCGAACTGCTATAACTGTTATAACTGGGGAATTCCCTAGGGAGCCTTTAAAGAAAACAGGGCCCTAAGCCCAGTTAGAACAGTTCTAACAGTTCTAAGCCACCATTGTGGGGTCTACAGAGGTGGCTTTAAACTGCTGTAAGGGTTATAGGTCCTTTCAAGGAGAAAGGGCCCGGAAGCCAGTTCTAAGAGACCCTAAACCCTAGACCCTAGACCCTAAACACATTAGAAGAGTTCTAAGACCACCCCGCCTTTGCAAGGTCTGGGGTTCAAGGTTGGGTTTGAGGTCGAGGGCTTTGGGCCCGGGGCCTCAGGCTCAGGGAGCAAAGGTTTCTGGCCCTTACCTAATGGGTTCGTGGAAGCAAGAAGCCTCAACTTCGAAACTCAACACTGAGGGAGCCGTAGCTGAAAGGGTCTACGCTTGATCAGCTGCCGCTCTACTAAATCCACTTCCCAAGTTTTCAACTGGGAGCCGCGCGAACGGAAAAAAAACAAAAAAAATTGGGAGCCGCGCATGTCCATTCTCCACCGGGTTGGGATCCCAGGGGACAGACTTCATCCTTCTCCACGAAGACCACCGGCCAGTTTGTGTAGAAATATATGTGCCAGACCAGGGCTAGCAGGCCTAAGGGGCAACGGGGCAGTCCTAGGCCCCCCCAGGGCTCTAGGGTTTAAAGTTTGGGGTTGTTTAGAGGGTTTAGGGTTGTCTAGGGTTGTCCAGGGTTTAGGGTTGAGGGTTAAGGGGAAAGAAAACCTAATTGCTACGTCCTGGGCCCTTAAAACCCACGCCCAGGAATCCTATCAGCTTTTGAACTTCCTTAAAGCTCCGAAAAGCAGAATCCTGTAGTGCCTGCCAGGCAAGGACCGCCGAAGTATGCGATTGCTCGGCCCCACGCTGACAGGCGCATGGCGGTGACCCTAAACCCCAAACCCTAAACCCTGAACCCTGGACCCTAAACCCTAAACCATAAGCCCTAAACCCAAACGGGCCCATGATCTCCGCAGTAAAGAGATTCCCTTTTGATTCTTGTGGCTGCGTTGAGAGTGGGCTTTGGGTTGAGGCTCGGAGCCAAGGTCGCCTCTAGCATGCAGCTCGCTAAACCCTAAACCCTCAACCCTCAACCCTAAATCCTAAACCCTATAAACCCCAAACCCTAAACTTGCGAATGTTGATTGCGCCAGAAGGAATCGAGAAACAGCAGCCAAGCGCCTTCAACCCTAAACTCAAGACAATCTGACCTCATTCCTGTAGACAGAGATTGAGGCTTACAACTTCCTTTAGTTTTGGGTTTAAGGGTTGTGGGAGTTTAGCCTAAACCCTAAACCCTAAACCCTAAACCCCAAACCCCAAGCCCAAAACCCCAAACCCTAAACCCAAAACCCTAAACCAAAAACCCTAATACCAACACCCCGCCACTTACCATCTCTAGAAGAAGGTTTAGCACTAGTCGGGACGACCGTTCGGTTCGGGGCTCCTTCTTTTGTGAGCGGCTCCCCACATCCGGGTTTGGGGTTTTAAGGTTTTAAGGTTTAGGGTTTTTTAAGGGTTTAGGGTTTTAAGGTTTAGGGTTTAGGGTGAAAGGTTGAGGGTTTAGGGTTTAGGGTTTAGGGTTTAGGGTTTGCGCCGCCGTTTATCCCGTGTGACGGTCTGCACAAAAGCAATAAAACCCATTATAAGACCAATCGCAAACCCGATGCGACCCACATAAACCCACATAAACCCCAAAGGGCTGATACAAACCTTACCCTAAGGGTCCATGTACTCATATAGTATATACATTGGCCCCAAAGTACCTATATAGAGACTACTTTAGGGCCAAAGTTTCTACTATTTGGGTACATGGACCCTTAGGGTTAAAAAAAACACAAAGTCTTCGGAACAACTTTTCCAGGCCACTGAGAGCAAGCCGCAAGGCCCCAAGAGAGAGATCCGAGGCCCGGACGACTCGCCCTGGGCTTTTCCGCAAGGGCTCGGCTCTGTCCCGTCTTTTTGTTATAGGGTTTCTAGGCTTTAGGGTGGTTTAGGGCTTAAAGGGTGAATGCGGGCTTTGCCCGCTCTTTTTACAACGCTCCGGGTTTGCTCTGCCGGGTTTTGTTCAAGGTTCCTTTTGCAGACAGTTTCACCCATGAACATAGACCTATCCATCTCCGTCCAGCCATCTATACTTGTGCTTTTGGGCTCTAAATGAAACGGCTCCAAACTAAGGCTTCGGGACACGTAGTTGCAGTTTTCATCAGGGACCCTACGGAACCAAAGAAGACTTCAGGGCTGTCGGGTCTTGTGTTAATGTAGCGGCGCTATGCTATAACGATATACAAGGCAGTCTCTGTATTCGAGGGCCTAGGTTTGCAAGGGTGTCGGGGTTCACGGTCTTGTGGCGAAAGGCGTTCGAGCTTTACGAGCTTGTAGCTTAGAGGTTCAAGCTTTCGGGGTTTAGGGAGCAGAGAATTTACGACCGTAGGGTTTGGGGGCCCAGCTGGCAATTCACATTGGGTCTGACATGGCAGCTCTCATATTGGGTAGTTCTCTAAATTAGGGTCCTTTTGAGGGTCCTTCTAATAAGGGTGCCGTACTTAGGGGGATCTACTTTTTGGATCCTCCCGGGGCTCTGGGTAGTTATCTTTTTATGCTCGGTGTCGATTTCAACAGTCCCCATAAATTGTAACATTTAGGGCTCCAGACTTACAAACAGTGAGAAAAATTAAAGATGATCCCAAATCGATACCGAGCTCACAGCCCTCTCAGAAGAGAACCGATTCTAGCATACGCCGTTTAAGCAGGATTGTAGCCATGCACGTACCAGCTATGAATATGGACGTCTTGTAGTAGCAGTCAGACAAAAACACTCAGCACCCGACGCCTGGGTGGATGTGCTAATGGGCACGGCCGGCTGTTTGGGTCAGTCAGATAGCGCAGAAACACCTTGGAAGAGTCGCTTGTGGATTGTCGTCGTCTACGACTGTTTTTTAAACTTAGCTGACTAGTTATGTTAGTCTCTACAACACACGGCCTTTATGATCAAACCTCCTTGCAGAGGCCGGGCTATGTGGCGTGGGCATGTACAAAGAGCTTGGACCAAAAGCGTTATTTCCGACAGGAACTTGGGGTATGGGGCTAATGGTATTTGTGGAGCTGTGATGTTCTGGTCCGCCTTTCCCTGCCTCTCGTCTCCTTCTCCCACCCCCTCTCTGTCTCACCGTCCCACCCATCAACACCAATCTGTGCATGTTTCTCAGTATGTCCGTACGCACATGATGACATAGATGCGAACTTGAGGACCTTCCCCTCCCAGCACGGCGTACCTCCAGAGGCTCCACGCTGTCCTTGTGCACCTGCGAGGGGTGATTCATCGCTCATGGCAGCGGGCCTTCGAGTTTCCAGTTCAATGGGGGCTCTCTAGGCGCATGTGCAGGAAAGGGAAGCAGAAGGCACAGTGCTAAGGCTTCAACACTCTAGGGCATGTCATAAGAACTTGCAGCTGTTGAACTTCCTTTGGATTCGGTCGTTTCCGGCTGTATACCCTACGCCCTAAACCCTCAACTCTAAACCCTTAGCCCTACACCCATTATGACTTGAACTTCCCGAATCCTACGGGTGGTCGGAGGGGGCCTTGTCAAGCAGAGTTCTGCTTGGAGGTTCATGGGACCTTAATAAGTGCACCAGGGTTAGGGGTTTAGGGTTTGGGGTTTAGAGGGTTTAGCGGTTTGGGGTTTAGGGGTTTAGGATTTAGTGTCTACTTGGGGTTCATGGGACCTTAATATGTCCAGTTATAAGTACCTGAAAATTGGGGTTATAAGTAAATAGAAGTATAGTAAGTACAGTTATAAGTACCTGAAAGCAGGGTCATAAGTAGTTATTATAAGTATAGTTATATTATTTATAGCGCTATTAATAGTTGCTAAGTCCCATGAACCTTTAAGTACGCGTGATAGCTCCACTTGGAGCGCATGGACAGGGCCAGGGCGGCTGTAAGGGCCATGACCAATGAGATATCCAAGAGTCCGATAGGTCCAACACCTTACGCCTACATGTCCTAAATCCTGCTCCTGAAATGTAAGCGGAAGCCCTTGTGCGGCCTGGTAGAAGCCAGCTATGACCTGGCACGCCGTCGTACAATCGAACGTCCGCTTGCTCATAGCTTTCTATACCTACCTATAAGATGCATTCTAGTTACTTCCCTGGTTGGCTGAACCAATTTCCTACTGAGGGTCCTGTTAGGGAGCCCACAAAGCAACTGTAGTGTAGACTGCAACTAGGCAGCCGTCTTTGCTTAACGGTTACTTAATTGAGTTAGGACCAGGCCCAGGAATTAGATAGGATCAGGTCGGGCTCCATGCCACAACCATGAACCTATTCTCTACTTCAAGACTTAAAGACTTAGGATCCTATAGTGTCAGGCAAAAAGGAACCACACCGGAAAACTATATTCTACGACAGAGCGCACATGATTTCTATCTACATCTCACAACCTACATGTACCCGAAGACCTGCAACCCTACTCATCCGTAAACTGTGAGGGCCCAGCACATCGGAGTCTGGTAAGACTCAGCAGAATTGAAGATACCTTTTCACTTCTATAAGTAACCCTTATGATATACCACAAAACTCTGTCGGCCCTAAACCAAAGCCGACATAGCCCGTTAACAACCCTGTTGTACTTCTGAAGGCTCATTTCACCACCTCTAAAAACCCTAAACCCTCATCAACCTTGAGTCCTAATGAATGAGA